CACTAAAGTTAATCACTAACAGTGTTGTTCCCTATTTTGAATGGCACAATCCCCTTTGTCCTTAACACCTCACCACAACCCAAGAGTTGACTTGTGTGTGAAACATTTTTTGTTTCTTTTCCATTTAAAAAAAAAATAAATAATAATTTTTCTCTTTGGAGTTGGCTGAACTCTTGCATCAGGACACCACTAGCATTATTAATCTGAACCCTTTCTCAGAATTGTCTTTGCTTTTCTCTCTGCTATGCCAGATTTCTCAACTCTTGGACATACAGTATTTTGTTTAACTTGGTCCTTTTTGCCACGTTAGCTATCAGTGGCAGTGTAAGGAACAGTAATTGATGGTTAGATTTGAATTACTGTGTACATGAACACCACATCCCAACATGTCAGAGCATATGTCTTATAAACATAATATCTTGGAAGTAGTGCTTTATGTGTAAAAGAAAATTAACATTGACACACTGTAAACTGTATACTTTCAGTTCATCACAGTAAAACATTTCTTACTTTGTTTTAAAAACAAATTTCCCTTTTATAGTGATTCCCCTTAAATAGCGTTGTTCCCTTTTTGTGGTTTGTGTCCTAAACAACGTCCCAACCATTTAGTTGATGAAACTTCTATGTTTCTGTTTTTCTAGAATTGGCTGAACTTTTTCCCCAGGACACCACCAGCATTGTTAATCTCGTCTCTTTCTCAGAATATTCTGAGGGGGAACAGGATTTGGCAAATGATGCAAGATCGGACTTGAACTTGCATCACCCATAACAACACACAGAAAACACACATGACAGCTTGTACAGAGAATGAAAAAAATGAAAATACTTTAAAAATGAATGAATCCTATAGCCACTTAACAATAAGTTGATGGTTGGTAAAATAAATGATGTATGAGTACAAGTAAAGTCATAATGATACTTTTGCAAATCATTAGCTAATGATTAATTAAAGGGGTGGTATAATGCCCTTTTCACAAAATGTAAAATAAATCTCTGATGAATGTGTATGTGAAGTTTTAGCTCAAAATACCCCACAGATATTTTTATATAGCATGGTAAAGTTGTCACTTTTTGAGGGTTAGCAAAAACGCACCGTTTTGTGTCTGGCCCTTTAAATGCAAATGAGTGGCTGGAGCTTCAAGAGTGTGTGTGTTATCAGCTCTGATTACCTCACACAGACACGTGCTAAAATGTCAGAAATGTCAGTTCTGCATTTTATGTTAAACAGGAGTCAAAGATGGAGAGACTAAGAAGAAGTGACAATATTTAGAATGCAACAGGATGTCTGTGAATGGTTCGTTGATGAATTTATGTTGCTGATGTGGAGTTAACTATCTTCAATTAGCATATTTTATGAGGATAATCTATAAATTGCTTGAATAGGAACTGTTGTGAGATGCACACATAGTGACTACAACAGCTCCTCCTCTTCTCAACATGGACTGCGTGTTCCCGAGGGCGAGGTTTATGTAAATTGTAGGGTCAGTGATGTCACTAACCCGGGAGGAGGCTTGTGTAGTTCCTACCTGCCGTTTTTTGTAGTCCTTAAAAAAAACAAAGCAAATATCTCCCTTTGCTTCGAACTTTGAGCGTTGTAACTTTGCAGATGTTGTTATACACTAACTAAAGTTGGAAAAGTGAAATCATAATCAACCACCCCTTTAAAGCAGATAACTGGAAGTTGAAGTGCATATAACTAATTGTAATTAATATATTCATGTACACTATTAGTTATTAAAATACGTTTTTAAGGAATTAATTGACGATGATACGTTTAATGAATTCATTTATTACATAATTTATCATATAGACTCTTTATTAGTTGCTAATGCAGTAATGATTAATTAATGGTTTAGTTCTTCATGAATCATACATTAAATCATGACTATCTGTGCATTAGTTAAGTATGAATTGATGCATATTAGTGCACCTCTTTTGTAAAGTGTTACCCCCCTTCTTTTTTTTCTTTTTTTTTATAATCACACAAATTGCTACAAACTGCAATTGCTCAATTGACTGTGAGAGAGGCTAAACATACGTTTCTCTGTTTATTACACAAGTGCCACTCATATTTACAGTGTTTACTGGCAGGGACACTTTGCATTGTTTGGGTTCTCATCAATTATGGACCAAGCGCTGCTAATCACAGTTCCCATGTGGTGTGTGACAATGTGTCCCATTTATTCCTTATTGTGTTTCAGCTATCAAAGAATGTCCTCACTGCGCTTTCCAAAAACATTAAATGCAGTTAATGAGATAAACATGATTACCAATAAATCTTCTGGGATTTTGACCTTGCTACAATGGCTAAGCTTCTTAACTGCGGGTGTTTTGACCCCGTTCCCTTGCTTTTTGAATGTCTGGTTCCTGATTCCATGAAATTAGAGAATGGCTTAGCTCTTGCTATAACTTTTACCAGGAACTGAGCCTTTCTGGTCTGGTCAAAAAGCTTTGTAAATCATTATATTTAAATGTGTAAGGTATGGCTTATAGTTCATAAGGGGACACAGATCGCTATTTACACAGTGTCAAAGATTGAGACTGAAGCCATTGTAGATCTGCTCACATGCGACTGAATCCTCTTTTCAGTGTCCATAGCTCTCGAGTAGAGATCATGATGGTCAGAGTGGCTATCATCCTATTTTTACTCTTCCCTCTCCTGTGTGGTTTATTCGTATTTACTTCCCCTACAGCAGATCAAATTTACTGCATTTCACAACAGTGTTACCTAAGATGTGTTTGTTAACTGTTTTAAAAACATGAACTCTGGCTTTGAGGAATTAATGTTTCAAGACTCATTCCCCAGTATTCAGACTAGTGGTTTAGCCATATGGGGTTTTCAGTGATTTATTCTTAAATGAAAACTTTAAAAGTTTGAGGTTGGAAAGATATTTTAATGTTTCTGAAAGAAGTATCTTATATGATATCTCCTAGTATCAAGACCAATTTATTTGATCAGAAATATAGTAAAAACAGTAATATTGTGAAATATTATTTCAATTTAAAATGATTGTTTTCTATTTTAATGTATTTTAAAACATAATTTATTCATGTGATGCAAAGCAAAACATTTTAGCAGCCATGATTCAGTCTTCAGTGTCACATGACTGATTTGCTGCTAAAGAAACATTTCTTATTATCAATGATTAAAACAGTTCTGTTACTTAATATTTTTGTGAAAAAAATAACTCTTTTGTAAAATATGTTACTGTGTCTTTTGATTAATTTAATGTATCAAAATTAAAATAATGCTAAATAAAAGTAGGCCTATATATTTTTAAAGAAAAACTATTGCAATGAAAGATCAAAATGTTTTTTCTTCTGTTAAATCTGGCTTGTAAGACTCTGGCTTCATTACACAAACTGACATTTTCAATTAGCATCTACAGCCAATTGCTAATTAACACAGCCGTGGGTGGCTGGGTCTCAGAGTGGTCATTTAGCATACACAAGGATCTTTGACCAGCAATAGGGAGCCATTGTTCATGTTCTCTGACAGGACATAAAATAAAAATAAAAAATAAATAAATAAAAGAAAATCACCTTTAATATAGTCTACGAATGACCAGGTGAACAATTTATAGTTTTTTCTGTTTTTATTTTTCATATTTGTATAAAATTCACAGTTTAAGTGATTTATTGAGAACAAAATGGCATAAATATGCCAGAAATATGACATTGAAGAAAAAAAAAAATAACAAATGCAAAACTATGGAGTAAAATACATTTAATAAAAAGGACTTCTGAAGCACTTCAGCCCATTGGTCACTAGTCTACAAAAAACAACTAAACAATAACAAACCCACAATATTCACTTGATGTTGCACTCTGACTATATTTGACCCTGCTGAAAAATGTAACATTATCATCAGCCTCTCAGTGCAGTCCAGAAAAAGACAGCCGTGTCAGTTTAATGACCATACATGCCTTGAGTGAAATAAAAAGCGCATCATTTGAGGCTCGTTCACACCAAGAATGATAACTATAACTATACTATCATCCACTCCATATCAGTGGACGATTTAGTCCTGTTTATTCTAAGCGCACACTGCAGTTATGTCATCTGTCACTTTAAATGCTCCAGCTCTTTAAAGTTTGGTGAATTCTGATTGGCTGTAATTTTTTTAATCGTTCATCAGCTGCAGTCTAGCAATATAATTTTTTTCTGTGCCATTATCGACTCTCGACCTTTAGAAATATCTTCATCATTATCCATATAGTTATTGTCCTTCGTGTTAACAGGCTTTTAAAGTCCCTGTAAAGTCAAAATTAAGTATGTGTTCTGAGTTTGTCACACCACAGAAAAAATATGCTATTAACCACCCAGCCAAATTTAAATGATAAAAAAGCTGGCAAGTACATAAAATAAGCTATCAAAATCTTGAAAAAAAATTAGCATTATTCTCTGCTCTCAAACGCTGGGGGCGTGCGCTGAGGGCTGCGCGTCCGCTGGCTGTGCTGAAACCACGCCGATGAAGGACGATGAAGGTCGAGGCGGGAGATAGGCGTTTTAGCCCCATTCACAGTGGATTATCAGTGAATCCCAGTTGTCTCCGACGAAAGTTTATAAAAATATCCCGTGTAAAATGAACACTGCAGATGCGGGTGTTGGCGGTGATCCTCAGCTCTCCATCAAGGTTGGCTCTTCACAAAATTAATCCACCTCTTCTTGATGTGATTGTTTTTAGGAAAATCAAACAAAGACACTGATCTGTTTTGTACATGATCGCATACAGGGAGTAGCCTACGCATTTCATGTCTAAGGCATAGCTAGCTAACAAACTGTATGCTGTAGTAACTAACAGTACTGACCCTAACTTGCGATTGAGCGCCAAACAGATTCAAACGTGCTCTATTGTTAGAGGACGGGCCATCCTCAGTGGCCTCAGTGGCCCCGTTTTAGCCCCGCCCAAGAAATCAGGAACATAGCAATGGTGAAAAACTGTCGCTCTAAAAAACGGTCTAACTCCACAATTCAGTACTTCACAGGTCTTTGTAATATGTTCTAGCAATACTTTTCTAACATTTATAATGTGTTTAGAATTTCTTTTTCGATTTGTCTTTACAGGGACTTTAACGTGTATCCATAGCAAATACCCAGAGTTGATGCATTCTGCAAAATAAATAAACCATACATTTTGTATCTGTTTGGATTTTGCCTCACCTGAGAACTTGTATTGGCTATAAAAATGGCCTGTAGGCTATTTTTCTTCTTCTTATTATTATTATTATATTAATGATGCTTAAGAGTGTCTTCCTTCTAAGCACTGGGTTTACTATAGATGATTTGGTGCAATTCAGTGATCCCCTCAAAATATTACACAATAATATACAACAAAACAAGACAAGAGAAAAGAAAAGTAATGTATACACAATGGAAACAAATCTCTATAAGTAGATCACATTAGTGGTGCTAAAGGATATTTTACACTTTTTACCAGAACTAATCTATACTTTTTGTGAAGCTGTTATTGTTATTCATGTTCTTCTTTATGCTGTTGTTGTTGTCGTTGAGGCGCAGGTCTTGCTGTTTCCTAAGGCCGTGAGGCATTACATTCTTCTGTACAAATAGTTTCTGGAGGAACCAGTCACTGATGCTCAAAGGGAAGTAGCTGCAGATGAAGTACATGAGCGTTAAACCCGTCCCGGCGTAGTATCGTGCCTGAGGTTGAGGAGAGAGGAGTGCGTCCACAATGGTGTTGATGACAGGACTCAGATCTTCATTAGCTGTTTTTGCGTAACTCTGAAAGAGTTCCTTGGTCTCCAGCATATATTCTTCCCCATATTCTTCAAGAAGGCTTGGTGGCAAGTTCTGGATCAGGTTCTTGTACTCTTTCTCCCAGTACTCTGTGTTACTGCTCTGCCCTGCAAGGTAAGAAAAAGAGCAGAAAGCATGATGTAACAGGCTAACAAAGGTGGGGGACATGGAAAAATCCACCCTGAACAGACTGGAGATGTAAACAGAGGTCTGGGGAAACTTTATTAAGTTATTTAAATTGTATTTCTAGACCTTCATTTGGCTGGACTATCTGTTCAGTGGGCGTGAAAAAGAGGACTCAAAACCTGATGGATCCTTCAGATGTGAATATACAGCTAAAATGAGAACTTTTTCCTCTCAAGATGTGATACATATCTGATGGGGCAATTCACTAGGAAAAAGCAGCGCTGTCTTAATTTAATTAGCTTGTTTTGTTATGTTGTGTCCGATATCAACACAAAGAGGAATACGTTTAGAAATGGAAGAAAATAATATCTACAAACCAGTTCATTCAATACTGTAGATGTTAAAAAGGTGGTTGGTGATTGAACAGTGTGTGTTTTACAATAAAGGAATGCCTAATTTGATCAAATTACAACCACTGTGATGAGACTGCAAAGAATGGCAATATACAAACAAGTGAATCATCACACTGGAGGCATACAGTGCGTGTAACTCGATTTCACATTGTAAAAATGTTAATCACCTGTCTTAAAGGAAGAGGGTAAGATAGTGGAGACTTTGACACCCCATGGCTCCAGCTCATGACGAAGTGTGTTGATAAAAAGATTCAGGGCAGCTTTTGAAGCCCCGTACGACGCCAAACAAGGGAAGGGATGCTCACCTGCAGGATTACAAAGAGAAAGAATGATTATATGACACAGATATCTTAATGACAACTTACAGCACTGCACATCCTTGAACATTTTAATAAGTATGATTTACAGTAGTTAGCGCATTACTGTTTAACCCAGCATTATTGTTTTGTTTTGTTTTTTTGTCTGTTAAATTGGCAGAGAGCCGGTGCAATGATGGAATTTATGGAAATTATGGAATTTTATTTTATTTTATTTTTTTTTAGGGGGATTGTCATTCATTGTTGGTGTAATAAAGATCTGTATTGAACCTGGGAAGCCTGTGGAGGTTAATTGCAGTTTGTGACTGTTTATAAAACATGTGGTTTTGCCTCAAGCCTTTGACATATGAAAGAGCTTGACAGGAGGCCTCCTGTAAGTCCTCAGAGGGAATGACTGTTCATCTCTATTGAGACAGTAGCATCTGCTGCCCATGACATCTAAACCATTTTGTTTCCTTCAGCAGTGAGACTGCACTGATGGAGACATCTTTATTTAAAAGGGCTCTGCGCCAATGTTTACGGAGAACTCAACGGTGTCCTGCGCCAAGCTGTTACTCATACTATCACACTGTTTTGGCACAATGGAGGTAAACAAATGGAGAAAAAATATGGGGAGTCAGGAAAAGCTAAAAAAATATGCTGATTTCTCCTGCTGACTGAATTCTAGCATGAGCTTAAGCAGAGAGTTGCTCTCTGTTGAGATTGTTAGTGGACACTTGAGAAGAAAAGAAAACAGGTGGGTTATAGTTTGGGCTTGGAATAGTGTTTGGTGATGAAGCCAGATGGACGGCATAAAATAAACATCTGATGGACAGAGATACATTTATAAGCACTGGCAGCTTTATGTGCATGGCAGAGAGAGAGAGCGAGGGGGACTCCTAATTAGATTTAGCACTGAAACAAGAACCTAAAAACACTCATAAACATGTCATCATATGTATAATTTAATTTACTCTTTATTTTCTTTCTCTTTTATTAGCGGTGAAGTCTGAGTCGGGTAACTTAATATGTGTATAAGTGCATTAACTACACTGGTTCTCACATGTATGTATATCTGTACCTGAAGGGCTGGAGATTGTCACAATCCGGCCTTTAGCCTGTCTGAGAAGGGGCAGGAAGGTTCTGGTGACATGGAGCGTTCCAAAGAAGTTGACTTCCATGCATCCTCTGTAGTTGGACATGAGGGAGAGCTCAGCATCCCCAACATTCACACACAATCCAGCGTTATTTACAAGCCCCCACAAATCTGGAGGAAAAAAAATCATGCCAGAATTTTATTCATGTAAAAATGATGAAAATACAAAGGTCGAAAAACCTTTTTTTAACACAATATTCAAAGGCTCCCCAAAAATGCTTGCTTTAAAACTTATTAACAGAAACTGTGAGTATTGAAATATTTGATAAATTAAACACGATTAATTTTCTGGTTTTTTTTAAATAATTTTAATTTGTATTGAAGATTATTTTTTAAGTATTTGGTTTTACTTTATTTTGATGGTCCCTTTAACACACTGTTGACTATAAGTAATGATGCACCTCTCATTAGAGTGTTAGTAGACTGGTAGGGTTAGGTTTAGAATAAGTTGACATATGCTTGCAAAGTAACTTATAGTCAGTAGAATGTCTGTTGTTGGGGAACCATCCCAATAAAATGTTAGCAGATATTAAGCAGACCGTCTGGTAACACTTTAGAATACGGTTCCTTCGTTAATGAATAACTACACAAGAACTAATGAGTAACACAATATTAACAATCTAGTAACTATTATTAACTAACAAGAAACTCTGATTAACGAACTAGTAAGTAATAGCGCACAGACGAAAGTGGTAGTTCCCTATTAAGTAATCAATAACTACTATTTTTTAATACTTCCCAGAGAACTACTGAAAAAGTTTATTAACAATCTAGTAACTACTATTAACTAAAATAAACTCTTATTAATGAATTAGTAAGTAATAGTTCACAGATGAAAGTGTTACTAGATACTTCTGTGGGAATTACTAATTATTTGGATTCGTATTATAAAGTGAAGATCATTGGAACTAACTAGTAATTACTCAAGTGTTACTACATGATCTAGTCATGATTTGTGCAAATGTTTGAGATTTTTGGTGAACTTTAGTAACTTTTAGAAAATGTCTTTAGTAACACTTGAGTAATTACTAGTTAGTTCCAATGATCTTCACTTTATAATACGGATCCAAATAATTAGTAAGTAATAGCTCATAGATGAAAGTGTTACTAGATACTTCTGTGGGAATTACTAATTATTTGGATCCGTATTATAAAGTGAAGATCATTGGAACTAACTAGTAATTACTCAAGTGTTACTACATGATCTAGTCATGATTTGTGCAAATGTTTGAGATTTTTTGGTGAACTTTAGTAACTTTTAGAAAATGTCTTTAGTAATACTTGACTAATTACTAGTTAGTTCCAATGATCTTCACTTTATAATACGAATCCAAATAATTAGTAATTCCCACAGAAGTATCTAGTAACACTTTCATCTGTGAGCTATTACTTATTAATTCGTTAATAAGAGTTTATTTTAGTTAATAGTACTTACTAGATTGTTAATAAACTTTTTCAGTAGTTCTCTGGGAAGTAAAAAAAGTAAAAAAATAGTAGTTATTGATTACTTAATAGTGAACTACCACTTTCGTCTGTGCGCTATTACTTACTAGTTTGTTAATCAGAGTTTCTTGTTAGTTAATAATAGTTACTAGATTGTTAATATTGTGTTACTCATTAGTTCTTGTGTAGTTATTCATTAACGAAGGAACCGTATTCTAAAGTGTTACCGACCGTCTAATAATCTAATAACTGCTAGTTGACCTGTAGGTACAAAGTAACTTATAGTTAACAGAATGTTCAAAAGGGACCATCAAAATAAAGTGTTAACAAATATTTATAATACTTTATTAATTTAAATACTTTTAATCTATCTTGTGAACCACTTGGACGGTTTGCATGCTGAGAACCATCAGTCTAAAGGGCTCTAAGGTTACTGGAGGAACACTGCAAGAGTGTCATCCATTGTGTTGGTCATCACCTCATAAAAACACCCACATTGCTCTGTCAGTGTTTTATAGCTGGTTTAAGTATGTTTATTCAGAGATAATAGTTATATTCACTCCCATCCTAAATTAGGGAAATTATTAGCAGAATAAGGAAACCACTGCCTTAACACAGAAGGGAAAGAAGCAGGGAGAATAAAGAAGAAAGGAAGCCTGAAACAGTTAGTTAAAAACAATTCACTCTTAGAAATAAAGATTCTTTATTGGGATGATTTTATGAAGATCATTTGACATTCATGGAACCATTCTATTGTACTAAAGGTTCTTTGTAAAAAAATCTTCTTAGGGGAACCAAAAATGGAATCAAATTGTTTTCCATGCCTGGGAAAACTAGCCTGGGTTTCCCGATTCTGCCTTGCCGCAGCGCGATTTAATTCGCTCTGCTCGGCAGTCTGGATACCATGAACCAAATTTTCCCCTGAAAAAGGGAACCAATCACAGAACGGGGAGGGAGCACAGGCGCATTTGATAGACGTACAGGCGCATTTGTAGCACCCAATAATACGACTCTGGGCATTCGTAAACCACGCCTCAAATACGAGAAATTGAATGTGTGGTTTCCAGACCACGTTTCATTCTCAATGATATGTGGTCTGGCGTTAGCCAAGCTATGGGAAAACCTTCTTTTTAGGAAACTTTATGTGTAAACAAGAATCTTCAAAAATGTTAGCATTTGAATATGTCCCCACTTTTGCCTGCTCAGCATCTAAATTGTGGAGGGTAAAATATTTTCTATGCCCCACCCAGGTTTTGAGAAAGGAAGCATGGAAAAATAGTTACTTTTTTCTTTTGGTCCAGAAGCCATATGCTGCTGTGGTGTGTGATGTTTGAAAATAAAATAGCCCCTTGATGTACTGCCAAATTACGCACCCCCCTTCCACCCCATCCCCTCCTATTCCCAACACTTTCTCTACACATTCTTTTTTAAGCTCAGAGAAAGAAAAAAACATGCTCACACACTATACACATGTACACCCAACTATGCTGAATCGCTTGTAAAATAAACAAACGTTGGACCACAGAGCACGAATGAATTGATTTATTTGACCTACTTTAAAGGTTAATTCGATGAGGTGTTTTGTTGATAGCATAGTTTCAAGATTGGGTTCAATAGAAATGTTAATGAAAACCACAAGCTGGTTAAAATTTATTAGGGGTAACCAAAACCCCATTGGCAGTTATAAATATAACATTCTTACAGGAGTATTTTAGGTTCACTGTGTTCAAACATGTGGGTGTGAGATTATGTGTGTGTGTATTTTCTGGCAGAGTGTGAAAGTAAATCCTCACCTCTCATGCCAAGTTTGGCCTTGGTGTCGAGGAGGGCTTGTTGTACCTGCTGAGGCTGGGTGATGTCTACCTGCAGGAGGGTAAGGCGTGATGAACAGACTCTGCGCAAGTGATTGGCTCCCTCCCCATCCAGGTTCAATACGGTAGCGAACACTTCAAACCCCATTGCATCTAACCGCTTTGCTGTAGCGTTACCAAACCCTGAATCACAGCCTGCAAAGAAAGGGGAGGTTAACATGAATGTTCTGCCAATATATTAGACATCAAAACACTAACTACTTCTAAATACTCACATTTTGGCAATATTTGACAGTAATTACTCTTATATGGCATGCTATGCAACACCAAAGCAACATTGCTATTACCATAATAGCTGTTTTGGATGCATCATTTAGAACACTTCAGCCAATGTCAGAAACCTTTCTTACGTTAAAAAAACGATCGAAAGCTAGGCACGAAACACCATCAGCACTGGTGAGATGTAATCTCACTTCTATGACCTCTGAACATCAATAAAGTTCAACAAAACAAAAGCACAATTACATAAAGTCTTCATCCCACATCAAGTTGCATGACAGTGTGACGCATCAATCTCTGAAACATGACTCTTATCTCTTTACAAAATTACACAACTGAAAGAGATAGTAAAGTTGGTGTCCTTGAAAGGTTTGAGGACAATGCCTTTACCATCCCAAGGGAGATTGTGGTTTTAGAGCTGAATTACTAAAATGTTAAAATGCATGGTCATGGTTGGTATCTGGGATGCACACACATTTACAGAAATGGTGGCAGAGAACGACAACTTTATGATCTTTATGAGGGTCATTTGAGTACGGATATGGACTTTCTTTTCATTTGTATCCCTGATGTGCAAATTGTTCTTGGAAATGAACGGCAGTACACTACAGATTATGTAAATAAAAGTGACATGAATATATACACAGACATGAATGAATGAATTTCTATAATCTTTGTTATTTTACAATTGATTATTTGGAATTCTGTTTCCATCCAAAACAACTTATTCCATTCTTTATCCTTTTTGTTTGGCAGGCAAGTAATTCCCCTGATTCCCCGTGTAGTTGTAAAGCTACAAAATAATAATAATAAATAAAAAATAATAAAACTGATGCATGTTAAGGAAAAAAAATTAGAATGACTCAAGTGTATTAGAGGTCAGTGGCCTCACTTTTCACTTCGAATTTGTGAATGTGTTGGCAAACAATTATACACCAGTTATGATAACAGCAGTTACACAAAACCCCAATCTCACCATCTGCATTTTATCTCAAGGTCCTCTGAGGACACACACATATCTGTCAGTGCACTAGCTGGGCGCTTTCTTTGTCAGTGTGTTATCGGTCAACAAAATATTCCTCACTAAACATGCAAGCCTGCAGAAGGGAAGGTCTTGGGATGGGAGAGTTAAAAATCCATAAATCAAGACTAACATACTTTATTATGTTTATTATGATTATTAATAATAATAAATAATGCAACTTCAGGTTTATCTTGCATTATAACTGTTTATTATCACTCTATTGTCGTCACTTAAATTAAACGTGGATGATCTTCTTTTTAATTATTGCCATTACACAGATAAGTTATTCCCAGCCAGGTGGACGTGTTCTCCAGCAAGTAGTACTTAAGAAGGCTCTGGGAAATTCTAATTCTGGTCATTCTAATTCTGTGGTAATGCTGTGGGAACTACATGGAAAAAATATATACTTTCCATTTGAAATAAATGAGTGAAAGTGAAAAAGAGGATCACACAGGGAAATCTGTGTATTGGTTCTGAAAGTTTTTTTTCCCAACTAAAGTCAGAACTGCTGTCAAAGGCATCCGAATAAGCACCAGTGGGAAGAGAAGAGAGAGCGCAGACGACAGACCCAACAGACCCAACATCCACAGAGACAGGCGTGATCTTCACTTGCAGTAATTGCAACGGAACTATGAATGAAAGGTTTTTCAAGAATCAGGCTCTACTGCCACAGCAGACGCTGTAACTTACCAAATGCCTAGAGACCGCAAGGTACAGATTCCTTTGTCTTTCGAGACAGATGGATGCCAATGTAAAATGATGATATATAGTGAGAGAGGTCAGACTGCACTTCATTTGTGCATCTGTGCCAAGTAAATCCTCTCTAAACTCTAGGCCCACGATGCCACACTTAAACCTTGCTTATCCATTTAACCTCTTCACCTGGCTTGGACATCTAAGCATAGCGGGAATGCCATAGGTGCCCCTCCCCTACATTTTTCCCCAAATATGTTCAGTGTACTGTTATGTAACATTGATATGGGTATTATTAGGCACCTTGGGTCGAGCATATCTCATCCCATGCTCAATTGTTCTGCATTCTGGAGGGACATTGGGTAAGGAAAAGACCTGCCAGAGCCCTGATGAGCCACATCTGATTTCCCACACACAAAGGGTTTGGAGGACAGTCGGTACTGCGACACTTAATGTCTGAATGTCATTAAACACAAAACACTAAATATCAAAGCAAGTAGCATCTGCAAACGGACAATACTAGACTTAAACAGAAAAAATATATATATATTTAAAAAAAAGATTTGACAACCAGAAAGAATCTAAATAGTTTTTTTTTTATTTAGCTATTAATAATAATAAAATGTCTAATATATTTAAGATAATTAAAATTACATCTATATATTTCAAAGTGTAGCTTAAGTGTCTAAACAATATTTGGGACCAAGATGAATGCATCTTTGGCCCCACTCGCTTGTGATTTCACGTGCATATAGGGGCTAGCTCTGAATGATGTGGGATTAATAGTGCTTCCTCCTGCTGTCCTCAGCATGTGAACACAATGAATGTGTCTCATGCCACCTGATCAGATTTCCTCACTGCCCTTCATAACACATGCAGACTAATGTCACCTGGTACTTAGTAGTCCATATAGAGATCCGGATTGACGTCATGCATTTCACTAGTTGATCCTGACAAAAAAAAAATCTCCATATCTCAAGTCGGGAGAGTCAAAATAAATCAGTTCTGGCAGGTCACGTTAGTCAAGCTCTCATTAGCTGACACTCAGCTGATTAACGTCTACCTATAAGAATTAGATGTCTATCACTGTATGTATATAAAAGCTCCTAACAGCAGCTACGTGCGTTTCTCAGGAGATCATTACCCTCCCCCATCCCCAGCTCCTCCTCTCACCCAGTCAGGATTGGGTATGTTGTACTTTAAAATGTTTAATGAATTATATCAATGTTGATTCTGTTCTGTTACCCTATCCATGCTAGGTTACATGGATACACAGGGAGTTCTCGCCCAGAACAGAACCATACCACCGATCCTAACTGCATGCTAATTGTCAATCGTATTAAACAATAGTGGTCCTGACAGAAGTAATAATTAAGAGTCAAGATTGCAGAAGTTTACATTCTGGTTCTTGAACATAGCTGGTGATTAACATGTAGGCTACATGGTGTACTGGCCTTACAGTCTATAGACGTTTTTTCCAGCTTGACTCTAGCCAGACTAATGGCTTTAGGTTGCTTAGTCAGCCAATTCTGTAACCTTAACCCCCTGTCTCACAGCAATTCAAGCCCTGAATGTGCCTTTCAGCTGGCTTTGTAAGAGGTTTACAGGTTTTCCACTTTCACTTGGTTTTTGGCATGGGAGTGACTTACAGCTTTGAGAACGGTAATTTAAGAAAATATGCTGATCAAAATTACTCAAAAGTACTGTATATTGATATGCTAGCTCTGGTACAAAAGACAAAAGAAACAAAAACAAGAAAATGATGAAAACTAAAATCAAGTGGCGTGCTCTGTGCCAAACTCAGAAGCTCACGCTGGTTGTGTGTGCATGTATTAAAGCAAGCAATGAAATAGGTTGACTGAGTTGATGGTTACCATGCCAATAGACGACAGACAGCTTTGGGGGATTTAAGGAACCCATATGAGTTATTTCTGAGAAACCCATGTCCATCAAATGATTATAAGCTTCCTTGGAGTAACTGATTGAACTTAACAGCTTGCCCTTTTAAGTGTATAACAGACATGCCAGTTAGTTTGCAATGACAGCTCATGGAGAAAAACTTGACAAGTCAAAAAGTAAGTAACATCACTATCAAAAAAAGAAAAAGAAAAACTCCCATTTGGAACTCTGTCCCTCAGAACATCAGAGAACTCACCACATACTCTCTATTCAAAAAACATCTGAAAAACTGGATCATAAGACATCAGACACGTGAGCATTAATAAGACTAGGTATCGTCACTTAATCCAACGGTACTGCGACCTGTGTCTATGCTGGGTCAGTTTGTAGTATAATTTTTATAAATTGGTATCAATTTTAACAATGTCTATTATAGCAAGTGTGTACACTGTATTTATTAGGACTGAAGAAATATATCTGTTTTACGGCTTTTTATATTTGTATTGTTCATTGTAATCTTTTATTGTTGTTCATTTTAGGTAGACCATTTTAAGATCTGTCCAGGGACAACAGATGAAAAATAGCCTTTTGGCTAATTCTGGTGCATTTACAGTAATGTCAATTAATGTACATTGTCTCTGTCAAATAACTAACTAAATAAAATAAAAATTTAGCTGTTTGCACACCTGCCAAACATTCACATAAATTTTACATTTTCATTCTGAATGTCCAGGCTAATGCTATAATATGCAGGTGTAGTGTGATAGTTATTTTTCATACATACATATACAGTAGTGCATGAGTTACTCAATCTATCCAGGGTTCATGTACTGTTCTTGTGCTTACACCTCCCAGTTTTATATAAAAAAAATGTGGTTTGCCATATGAATAGTAAGCAAAAAAGTTAGCAAGAAAATGTTTGTAAAGTAGGTGTTTAGAGCTGCTTTGGGCTTTAAAGGATAACATATTTCTGAACAGTAAAGGTACGTGCTCAAATAAAGTACAACATGGCTACTGAAGGAGTTCATGATCCAGATTAAAAAGGAGTTCTAAAACTGCTTAACAGTAAAAAAGAATCATCACATAATTACCTTTATTCCTCAAGGTCTGAGCCAGGAATTACACAGTGTTGTTGAGATTCTTTTTAAGAGCTGCTTTGAGCTATAGTATAATTTTCTATCTTCCATGCCTAAAACTAACCCCCACATAAAACTTTATTCATTTGTAGGGTATTATTTTAAACATTGTTTTTATGTTTATAAAGATATTTTCTCTTTGGGACAGTGCCTGTGTGTGCCTAAACAGTGCCTAAACCTGTATGACATGAGTATGAGAAAATCATGACATCATTTTTGGGTGAACTATCCCTTTAAAGCAATACACTCAATACAACTACAGAAGTCTCCAAAGAGCACTTAAAGAAACAGTGCATAAAGGTGCAGATGGAGAAATACAGCTATAATTTGAAAATGAGTTGAGTGTAAACCACCAGGTACAACACGGCAGCTCTTTGATTTGATTTATGGCTTACACTGCATTTATGTCAAGATCATTTAACTTAGGATCAGATTTGCTCAGCCAATTAAGAAAAAGCCAAATCACCTTATAGTACTCTCATCCAGCAGGGAACAATTGAGGTTAACACACAACACGTACAAAGTACAACACAATCAGAACGTACCTTACAAATACCGCTCAAACTTGGCATACCTTGAATAGAAAGGCACATGACCAATATCATTTGATTCATGCCGCATGTTTTCCTCATTGCCATAAAATATGGGTCAATACAGTTAGTGATTAATTATCACACTGAGCTAAACATTAGATTCTCTTCAGCTTGATATGATCTAGAGAAAGTTGTTATACAAACATAGTACAGGGTGTTCTGGATCAGGACCAAGTCTGTATTCAAAAAGCATAACATGTTCTGACAAGGGGGGTACAGAACTGCGACTCATTCAGTCATACAGGTGGAAAATGTTCAAACTTTACCTCTAAAAGTTACTGAATCACCAAATAGAGAAACAACAGCAATCATAATGATAATTGTGGCAAATTTGCACAAAAAAACCTCACCCAGCATGACCTACATTTCCCAGCTGTTTGTACAATCTGTGCTAATCAATTCACGTGCATTTCAGGTCAACACATAATGATCCTTCCAGTCAGCCATGAATCACAAAAAGAAAACAAAACTGTCATCAAGCACTGCATATAAACACAGTCCGAACAATGACAAACACGGTCACACAGTTTATTCTGTGATTTAGTTTCAGTTCGGTCCTTTTTGTTTCTGTTCTTACCTGTGATGAAGACTGCCTTGCCCTCAACTGGCAGGGAAGGTTTGGGGGTGGCCCACGTAAAGTACAGCCAGCAGGACACACAGAGGACCAACCTTGCCAGCACAGCGGGCATGCAGAGGGCACACATTCTCTCCACCAGCAGAGTGGCACCCAGCCATGCCACCACTGAGGGCATGGCACCGATATGGAATGCCAGAAACTTCTTCACAGCTCCACCAACAAAGATTAACATTACTCCGAAGTAAATCCAGAAAGACACTGAACAGTCTTCCATTGTACCAGAGGTGAAAATGCTTTGCACTCTCTCCTTGCTTCTTTTTTCTTTTTCTTTATTTCTGTCTCTCTTTTACTGATACTGGCACCTTTCCCTCTTTTTCTCTCTCCCTCTCCCTCTCACTCACTTTGTCACTGTCTCTTTCTCAAGTGGGATCACACTTACAAATGAGCAACCATGTGCCTGCTCGGTTCCCTACAATCTCAAGCTCTCACACATCTCACACGTTCCAACTCAGAGTAGGCGAGTAAGAGCTAGTGAGCAGATTTGTCTGACTGCATGTGTGTATATATAGTGTACTCTCCAGGAGAGGGGAGGGACTATGCTCAAGCAGATGTAATCAAAGCCCAATAGGCAAAGCTTCACAACCCCCCATACCCCCAACATGCATATGTTTGTCTTCTTTCCAACAAACATGTGATCTGTTTCTCTGTTTTACTAATTTCTCTGGCTTCAACAATCAATTGTGAAAACTTTCTTCTGCAAGTTACTGGAATTGTGAGTGAGAAGCGAGAAGTCTTTTTTTAATAGTGCTAAATGGGGACCTTACACAATTTGAGCTGCTCTAAGACGGTGTGTACTGCAAAAATTAAAACTCACTTGACTTGAATTACAGGTGTCAGTGAGACACTGTGACTTTCCCTTTGTGGCTGGTTGTACAACATACGTTGTGCTTCGTTATGTGCACGTGTGGTGAATGTCTTTCCTCTGTGATTAATACACATTAATACACCTTTGGTGTGTTTTGGCATCAGTGTATATATGTGTTATCAACCCGACAGGTCTAATTTGCTGGTCCTTTCAAAGTTACATTAAACAAAATTTTATTCACGGGAACATACAAAAGTAAGCAAAACCAGGACAAAAAGTGCTGCTGTCAAATTTAAAAAAAAAGGTGTTTGTATGTGTGCAATGAGGAAAGTAAGCTCTCATTTACAGGGTCTTTATTTTTTTATTTTTTTCTTAATGCATGTTTTGCATGTCTTCACAAACATATGATAAAAAGTCCAAGAAGATACATGTAATATCAACAAAACATTTGAAATATTAAAGATCATATATACATATTAATCTCCTTTTGGTGACACCTGTATATTCATGCTTCCCCTGAGCACACATTGAGAGCTGTATAACAAAGATACCAAGAGTACTATAAATCCTAAGAGCAATAATCTGAGCTTTACATTGCGAAAAGGTGAAGCATCAAAGAATAAGTAATGAGGAACCGAGGGAGGAAGGGGGGCACACGGTGGATGTGAGGCACCTAACAGACAATGACCTCATTCCCTCATCAGGTGTTATTTCATCCTGCACCTCTTGTCATTATTACTCTATGTCATTTACACACATCTTTCTTTAAAACGTGTATGAAGTAGATTCTCTGTTTGTTTCTTTTCATATCTCCTTTTTTAAAATTGTATCCCTCCCTCGGCAGCTATTCATGCTGAGTTTGTCTAACTACTGTACACATGACAGTACAGTACACAACAAGAAATTACACAGCTCCTCCTTCACCCAGCTCAGACAAAACAAACTCCAAACCCCATTATTCACCTCTAAGCCTTAATAGTAGTTAAAACGTTTTTTGGACATAATTTCTTTGGTGCTGTGTTGGACACATTGTTCCTTGGCCTTGAGGTGAATGACCTTTAGAGGTCATAGAACATACTGCCATTCATCAATATCACCACTGGTCAATCCTGTGCCACACACGCTCCACGACATTGCCATACGGTGATCACATTGCATGATACTCATTCTTATGTAAGCCTTTGGCACAAGGACTAACTTTTATCATTTTGATGGGTTCAATGTTTTCCACTTGAGTTCATAAAAGAGAATGATTATAGGTAAAGAATGCTTAATAAGATAGTATTATATTAGTTTATGATTACAATTTGCGTGTGAGTTCTGCACTTTAAATGTGGAAAAAATAGTGTCAATACTTAGGCATAAATGGGGAAATTAGTTCTAAACATGCATCTGCACGAACAAGTGCAGTGTCGATATGCTTTTACATATGAGGTACAAGGGCACAGTAGTGATATTCCTCCTCAAGTCTATCACTGTTTGTCCATGGGGGGCGATAGAGAGCTGTAAAAATATCACTCCTAGAAGAACAAACCTTCTGGAGAAAATGTTCTGGCCAGAGCACACAACAGACTGAATGCCTTCACAAAACAGAACATATTTTAGAAAGAGCTATAAAAATTAATAATAACAGAAGTATATATGATTTGCTTAAAGTAGCTGCATGATTTTTTTTTTTGACATTTGATTGGAGGAGTTTGACATTATCATGTTGTTAATGAACACTTTTACATTTGTTTAGAGTTCATATGGAATCATTATCAACCAAGAACATCAAAACATCAAGAGTGATTGCCAGGGAAAGCTAATATGGCGGCTTCTGTCCGCTATAGACTTTAACAAATTTGAAATCGGTCATTTAAATATATTTTAAATTTCATTTTTTCTCTCATTTTTCTTTTCAACTTTCATTTTTGTACTTTCACATTTTCCCTATTCAAAACTGGAATATATCATCATAAAACCTGGATCATCTCGAAGAATATATCGGCGCGCACCACAACAGATTCTGCCGTACCATGAACAGGGATAAATCAGACCACAACAAAAATTGTATAGGTAACCCCAACTCCAAACTCCAAGAGACCTTGTCCAGATTCACTTACTGTACTGTCCAAGTTCAACACCATCCACATCACCTAAACTGCTGCTGGGGTAAGCGACATTCTAATCTCAATTTAAAATTAAAGCTGCAAGCAGCATTTATCGGTGTTCAAGCAGTTTAGGCCTTTAAGGCCTTAAAGCACAAAAGCATCAAAAGGCATTCAATTTTATTAAACATACATTTATCCAGTGACATAATAGATGGAAAACACCATTTACAGCCAATACAGGCAATTAACCATTGCAAATACATGGTTTTAATGCTTTTTAACAGATATATCACCATCTATGGTCTGATCTCCATGAAACTGTGCATGCTTCTTTTACATGTTATGACACATATGCTCATCATTTTTTTTGAAGTTGTGAGTTTTCCTTTAGGATTTATATACTTTTGGGTGCATTTTGTCACCTACATCTTGGATACCCTTGGGGTAAGCTAAAACATACGAAAAATTAATTTCAAAGTGAACTATCCCTTTATCTCCATTATGCTTGCTTACACCAGCAGGGTGCATTACTGTATCTCCTCATTGGCCTTCCTAAAAATACCATAAGACAGTTGCAGCTCATACAGAACGCTGCTGCCAGGAGTCTGAGCAGGACCAGAAAATATGAGCAGATCACACCAGTCCTCAGGTCTTTACACTGGCTCCCAGTTACATTTAGGATTGATTTCAAAGTATTATTACTGGTATATAAATCATTTAATGGGTTAGGACCTCAATATATTACAGATATGCTCACTGAATATAAACCTAACAGATCACTCAGAATTATCTCATTCACTCATTAGAATCACATGAGCTAGATGTGACAGTTGTCAAAGTAAATGTGACAGTTGTCATAGTAATTTTGGTAAATGGACAGCATTTATATAGCACATTCATAGACCTAATGGTCACCAAAGCGCTTTACATATTGCCTCACATTCACCCATTCACACACTGACAGCGGTGTCAGCCATACATGGCACCATTCAGCTCGTCGGGAGCAGCTGGGGTTAGGTGTCTTGCTCATGGACACCTCGACACTTGGTCAGGCTGAACCGGGGATCGAACCACCAACCTTTCGGTTTGTAGACAACCTACATGAACCACTGAGCCACTGCCGCCCCTACCCTTTTTGACTAAATTATTGTGATTATGTGATTATTGTTAAACTAGTGAATTGATAAAGTCATAATATGAATTATAGTTGAGTAGTCATGACAAATGACAATTTTGAACAGCAGGGGGCAGTAAAACTCCACTTATTGGCTTAATAGACCATCATGTTGATATCATGTTCACCTTTTTAACTGTTGTATAGGCATAATTTGTCCGATCTGTCTGAAAATGTTCATGATGTTTTAATGTCACGTGTTCTAACTTGTGTTTAACATCTGAGCATTCATTTCAAGGCTACATGTTGAAGCCATCGATTATAGGCATTCACATGAAGTAGTTCAACTTTTTCTTATAATAATTGATCAAGAGAGTTCAGAGAATTGTACTGCACTGGCTAACATTATAGGGTTAGGTGTCTTGCTCATAGACACCTCGACACTTGGTCAGGTGGAACCGGGGATCGAACCACCAACCTTTCGGTTTGTAGACAACCTACATGAACCACTGAGCCACTGCCGCCCCTACCCTTTTGGACTAAATTATTGTGATTATGTGATTATTGTTAAACTATTGAATTGATAAAGACATAATATGAATTATATATTATGTCTACGGTTCGATCTCCATGAAACTTTGCATGCTTCTTCAGCATGTTATGTCACATATGCTCATCAATTTTTGTGAAGTTCTGAGTTTTCCTTTAGGATTTATAGGCTTTTTGGTTCATTATGCCACACCCCTTTTCAAAATAACCCTTTTAATACCATGCAAAAAATTAAAAAGTTCAACTTTTTTTCAATAATTATTTATCTAGAGACTCCAGAGATTTGTCCTAGACTGGTTTGGTTTTGATTAGACAAAAAACCAGGGACTAGTTCGCAAAAGTAGGTTTTCAACATATTTGTGAATATTTAATGAACGATTCAATTGACAGCAATGGTTCTAGAGGCAAAGTTGTTCATCATGAGGAGATCTATCAAATGATATTCATTTTGTGTGGATGTGTGCAACACCACGTGATTACAGAGCCATAAAACTCTTTAGCGCCAACTAGTGGCCGATTTCTATGAAAATTCTTACAGACCTCTAGTGCCACAAGTCGAATATGCCCCTCGAGTTTCGTTCCGATCAGCCTCCGTTAACCTCGTCTAATAGGTGCTCAAACTTCATTGGTTGATGGCGGCCATGTTTTTTGAGATATGCCAATATCCTTTTAGACATACATGGTAACTTGCACCAAGACACTGCATACCAAATTTCAAGTCAATTGGACAAATGGTCAGATGGTTTTAGCCAATTATATGTTTATTTAATGTTATAGCGCCACCATGTGACCAATCGATGCAGTATTTTTACAGTGACCGCAAACTGTCCTCATACACATGTCTATTGAGTTTGGTGAAGATATCTTATTTACTTCTTGAGTTATAGCCATTTTAGTAAAATTGCC